AATTAAGTCCATTATATTTATACAAATCTAACTGTTTCCTCAAACATTCACTGCAAACCAATCAGAGTGCCTTTTATCAATTACCTGCTGGAGATAGAAGGCTGAAATAAGAACACTTTATATAAAGGATAAAACTGCATGATATGATAAGACGTGTCTAAATGCAGTAAATATAAGTTTATCGTGGTCGCGTTTGGCCTCTACATCACTAAAGAAGCCCAGGTTAGTCGTGCTAATGCTAAGTGTTATGGTAATCTCACGTGACTAAACGTTACAGACACTGAGCGACACATCAGGCGACCTTTTTTCTGATGGCCAGATGATCGACAGCCCCGTTTATTTACATCTAATTAAAATATACAGAAAATCTGTTGATCACAAATACACTAAACTCATTCATTAGTATCATAATTCCCACTTTCCGCTCGCAGCGTACTGGATTCCTACCTGTTCACTGAATTTATTCAGATTCTGAAAGTCAGTGCTGACATTGTCGGGTAAAGTATCATTCGTGAAATGTAACTGCAACATTGTTTCTCTGCAGCTCCGCCGCTGATAGCCTGAACTGTCACATCTGCTTCCACACTTCCGCTGCTCATTGCTCATAGTGATGTCCGGTTCGCGAACGAATCGTTCGATTTAACCGGTTCTTCTTAGTTGGATTATGGTTTCTGCGCTGATGACAACTAATTTATTTACTTTATATCTTCAAGACTTAAATCCTCGTATGCACATCACTGCCTGTTACTGTATTTGGGTGCTTAGCTGCAAAACTTAATTGTAAACTTTTCAGATCATGATTATGATGTTTTAACTGACTGAAGTTATGATTACTGACTTTATATATTTGAATGTGTATTTTCATCCAGGCCTGGGACGATAGACTTGATATCATTACGTCATCGCGAATGACGTCATTACATTAGGGCGTAAAAGAACCGATGAACCGGTTTTTTTAACCGGTTCATTTAAACGAACTGTCCGAAAGAACCGGTTCGCGGAAAAGAACCGGACTTCCCATCACTAATTGCTCAACGATTCCACGATCAGCACTTTCGTCATTCTCATACTTGAGAGTCATGTGATCATGATATTTTGTAGTGCAGTGATAATCTGGGTGTTTGTATGCATTAATTAAACTATCATAGAAGACAAGATAAGTAAACATTATTTTCCTTGCAAAAAGTAGATGATTCATTTCGTTTTTTTCAGGCTACATCAAATCTGTGCCGATGAACTTCCATGACATTCACCCTTAAATAGGCAGAAGCATAAAAATACCTCAGAAAATTAATGTAATGTTATTTGCCAAAACATCAGGAGTCAAATAACACATTTTTTATGTTTTTCTTCAAAATGTTGCTTATAATTGTCCAGTTTGTATCTACCATGTGAACAACTTATGTGACCCTCGACAACAAAACCAGTGATAAGGGTCAATTTTTTGAGATTGAGATTTATACATCATCTGAAAACTGAATAAATAACTTTGATGTATGGTTTGTTAGGATAGGACAATATTTGGCTGAGATACAACTATTTGAAAATCTGGAATCTGAGGGTGCAAAAAAATCAAAATATTGAGAAAATCGCCTTTAAAGTTGTCCAAAGGAAGTTCCTAGCAATGCATATTACTAAACAAAAAATAAGTTTTAATATATTTACGGTAGGAAATTTACAAAATATCTTCATGGAACATGATCATTTTCTTCATATCCTAATCATTTTTGGCATAAAAAAATCAATAATTTTGACCCATACAATACATTGTTGGCTATTGCTACAAAATACCTGTGCTACTTATGACTGGTTTTGTGGTCCAGGGTCACATATAAAAGATAAGAACATTAATTTGACAAATCCTAATGCAATGCTATAAACTGTGTTTCTTAGTTTGCTTAAGGTCATGGGTGACTTGGTATAAAAAACAGACATGGTTTTTACAGGGACCAATTTTTTTAATGGTTTTCTCATAATTTGGGCACATTCATTGTCGGTCGCTCCCCCATGCTGTAAAATGTCTGTATGACAACATTTAATATTGTATAGCCAACAATATTATATTAAATGTGGTACAACATACTAAGTAGATATTTAATCATTCCCAAAGATAGCCTACATATAGAAAACTGTGTGACAAGCAATCCAGTACAAATTAAAAAAAGTAGTTCTGTAAGCGGGAGTAAAAATAAGCATTTTATGGCACAAAATAGAATCTCACAGAACATGTGCATGGCATATACCCATCTCATCCCGAGAAAGGGTTAAACAGTAGGAGGTAAAAGTATCTTTTATTCAGAGGGAGTGCGATTCGAGACCCGGGAAAAGTCACGCCTGAGTGTAGAGGCGAAAGACCGAGCGGTCCTTGGGAACGAGAATCCATTTACATATTCACCCTACGTTTGAAGGCGTGTGTACCAGCAAAGATTAGTGTGACATACCTCCGCACTTTGGCAGTGGACTACTCTAACGGCACCTTCAGTCTCTGCGTTTTTGTAATAGCACTACTTCTCCAGAGACAGGTAAGTTTCATACCTCTTCTGCATGGAGCACTAGAGCGCGTTCTCCTGGAGAGTTCAAGTGCAGCATGACCGCACATGTCTGATGATATAGACTACTTGCTCAAACTTACTTTTATTTTAGTTACTTTAACCTATAGATTCTACATGTAACTGAAATGTATTTAATTTCGGGTTGTTAACGCATGGAATAGTGTGTGGTTATCGAGCGCACATGGCTGAGGCGTGCGGAAAGCTTGTCTTATAGCTCATGTAAGCGTGGGGAAGTTTGTGAGATTTATTCCTCATTTTCCTGCATTACCGGTCTGAGTTCCTTAGTGTTTTGTGCACATTTAAAAAAATCGATTATTCCAAGATTTCCATGTTCTCATGAAAATCCAGATGTTTGGTGAAGATGCAGTGTACAAAAAGAGGGCTTTCCTGACATATTAAAATAATAATAGTCGGTAAAAGTAACTGAAACCAATATTTTAAATTTTGTGGTTTAAGCTTTTTTTTAATAAAGAAGCGAACTTTCCGAATATGAAGTAAATGCTCTCAAATAATTTTTGTTGTATTAAAACCGGTTTATTTCGTTGACGTCACAGAAGTGTTATAACGCGCGTCACGCGGATTAAAGTTTTTACTGTTCTGACAACGTCTTACTTTTGCAACATAATTAATTATGGAAACATCTCATTTATATTTCTGCCCTTTTCACTTAAGCGTATTGCCATGCATTTATAGTTCACCGAAAATGAAAGTTCTGTCATTGTTTAACTTACTCATCCCAAAAAGTATGACTCTCTTTCTTTCTGTGGAACACAAAATGAGATGTTATTCAGAATGTGAGGGACTGACAACCTCGGTCACCGTTCACTTTCCTTGCATCTTTTAGGAAAAGTGAACAACGAATGAGGCTGTCATTCTGCCTAACCGCTCAGTTTGTGTTCCAATGAAGAAAGATAAATCACACAGGTTTGGTCCAACATGAGGTCGAGTATATGATGACTCTCGACTTTCATTTTCGAGTGAGCTATCCCTTTAAAACAATAGAAATGTGAGCGCGTGATAAAGAAGGGGGCGCTGAGTGCAGGTGAATCCCGCAGCGGGGTGATTGTGAGTTGAGTCGAGTGTGCATCTGAGCGAGGGTAACGTGCTAATTGGCGTTGGTAGACTGTACGGCGTTGCCCGCGAGGCCTCTCGGAGGAATGCCGCGCCGTCACATTGGCTTTGCGCTGCTGCATAGAAATGACTCAGATTTCAATCAAATCTCTAGTAACTATGAGACTGCACATTGAAGTTAGAACGATACGGCCTGCTCGAATACCGCGAACTTCTCTCGGCTTTTATTAGCTACTAGACTATCTGATAGTTTAACCAAAACCCAAGTCGTTCTTTTAATAACTCGCCTTATTTTTCTGTCAGATCGCATCTGTATTCACGGTGAACGCAGATTAAGAAACTAGTTTACGAACTGTTGACAAGTTTAAAACTTGTCCTTTAACATTGGCATGAAATGAAATTTCACTCTATAATTTTTCTAAATGCATGCTATGCCATGTATTTTTTCTAAATGTATTTTGACCTTTAATTTTTAACTAAAAGTCATAACTGTACTGGACAACAGACTTATCCAGTCACGTGGTCTGCCTAAACCCCGCCCCTGCAACTCAAATTTACCCAAAGTCCCTTTCAAGGAAAGTCTGTTCACTTGGTGGCCATATTTCCAACGCCTCCAGGCAGCTATTTCGGGCACCCAAGACCAAGTCCTATTTACTTGAATGGGGAAATCCTGAAATCAACAACAGAATCTGACATGAGTGGTCCCATAAATGTTTTTTTATGCTCAAATAGCATAGAAAAATCCTATATTTCAGGCTGAACCAGCAAATGCACATGTGCAGTTCTAATCGCACGTCTTAGAACACTCACTGTTTCTTTGGCCCTGTCCGTCCCAAATGGCACTCTTCATGTGTACTTGCAGTGTTGAGGGCTTACAATGGCAACCACGAGTGTTTGTCCGTTAGGTCCATAAGTGCATAGTGTGTCCAATTTGCCCAATGTCATTTTAGCTTTCAGAAGGATGCTCACGAGTGGCCCCTTTGTGGCCGTTGCACCCTCGATATGCACTTCTGCTGAGCCCACACGGAGACAAGCTCCACAGCAGACTTACGGCATTACATCAAGAAAATTTGTGGACTCAGAGGAAGACTGCAAGGGTTTAGGGTGTGATTTGGGACAGGGCCTATGGCAACTGGAGCTTCTAACAGCCGTGGCAGTGACGCAATGACTTTACCAACTGGCGATTGTTTCTTTTATGCAGAAGACAGGACTTATTCCTCCATATTGTGTGTTGGTATATCCGTCTTGGTATATCTAAAGTCTTCAGCTCATTTGCTTCCACTTTTGAGATGCCCACATCTACAAATCTAATCAACAACCAATTTACAGAACCAAGTCCCCGGCCCGCTCACCATTTTTATCTTTTGATAATCTGTTACACTTATTAATGTTATTGTACAATTTCAATAGAATAACAATTCATTTTGCAGCACATTCTTAAATGGAATAAAAACATTTTAAAAAATCAGACCTGATGCACATTCTTTATCATTTATCATCATTTTGTATTTGCATGTTTTCCCAAATCGTAAATACGAATGAAGAGGACTTGAACGCAACATTTGTAACTAACTACCCTACTTTTCTACACTTACAGTACTTGAGGAAATATGTTTTGTGTTATTCATAATAGAATTTGATAATGATCTTAATCTCTTTTTATGTGAAACTTAATATAGGTTTTGTGATCATTGTGGCAGATTCAAACACTCACATACAGTACACACTCAAAAGTGCATTAATACAAAAACCTTCCTCACATTAGGTTCAGTCGACAATCTCTGTCATTCATACAGACCTTTGACGTGGCCTCTTATTGTATTCACTCTTATTCACTTCTCAGTTCTCCCACTGGGCTGTGGAGAGAGCATGTGTGTTTATAGGACCCATAAGGAAAACTTACGCATTGTCACTTTGATAATGGACTTGAAATGATATCCATAGCAGTTAAGACGTAAGTGCCTTTGTGTGTGTACTTGCACGTTCTTGTCTGCAGACTTAAGCACAATGTCCTTTAGCCATTTCTTGTAGGATGCACCTGGAGGCCTTGCCTGTGTCCTGTTTGTATAATGTGGTTTGACACTTTCCCCAGTTTCCCTATTTCCCCAAAACTAATGTGCATGTCAGATATAGACTGTTATATAGACTATAACTGCCTTCTAAAGTGATGGGGAAAGGTTGTTATGCGTTATAATGACACAGAAATGCATTCGCCACCCTCAGGGTGTAACATGAACAACAGCTGTGATCTGAAAGTATGAATGACTGATGAGTGTTGTGTTGACAGGCTAAATGTTTCTACCTCGTGGTATTTTTGGACTACAGTTGAACATGAACTCTATATAATGATATTAAACATGGCAATATTAAAGGCAGTTCACCCAAATATGAAACATTTGTCATCATTTACTCACCCTCATATCATTCCAAAAATGACTTTCTCTCTTCTGTGGGATTCAAAAAACAATTAGAAATTAATTAAAAAACAGAATTTAAAGTTTTCTTAATCTCTTTGGCTCAATTCTCAAATAAGATTGATTGGATTTTCTTGTGACAATAAGATCAGAGTTCTGACCTCTAAGAAAAATCCATAAAAATAGTGCCCAGAGTACCATGTTAATGTGAAGGAATTTTCCTTTTTGATTTTTCACAGTTGTTTTACCTATATTTTGAAGTGTACATTGCATTGTGCTTTAGGTTTAAAGGAACACAGCTGTTTTTCTCATAGTGTAAACAATTCGTTTCTTGTTTACGCCAGATTTGAGGTTCTTATTCTTTTAAACAAATTGCATGTGTTTTGGCCCATTTGCAAATCAGTAAGTAAAATTGTCTACAGTTAACACAATAACTAAATGCACATGGCTTGCTGATCAAAACGGATGAGTTGATTCTCAGTGAAATTGTCACACTCTTCACAACTTCTAAACAATCTATTATCATTCAAGCTATCAATGATCCGAAATGATCCATTCAATTATCAAAATCTGTCAGACCAATTACTGACACAATTACCAAGTTTTGAAGCATGAATTAAATGTTTTGGTTGAGTTACTACATTTTATAGACATGCTATGGAGTTGTGATGCTCCATAAAGAAGTTACAAGTGACAATTACACTTACAGTGCAATATTGAGACTGTTGCAAAAAAATTAGCCAAAGTGATTGAGAAAAAACTGTAAAGAATGTTCTGTTCAATGCAACAAAATGAGGTCAGTCAGTGATGACAAAATTGTAATTTTAGTGAACCTTATGTTTAATAAAGTGCTCTTTATTTTGTTATTAAGACTTATGTCTTAAAATAAAACATCAGACTATTTTGTCTAGGCTGCTGGGGTCTTATAATGGTTTTACCTAGACAATCATTACCTGAAACATTGGATGTTTGATTTTGACATTGAAAATCAAAGACTGTAAGTAAAACCTAATCACAACTCGATCGATAGTGTTCTGGATCTGTCTGAAGAATCTGTGTCATTGATTGTGTTATGGCTTTTATATAAAGTCATTATTATTTGGCCTATTTTTCTATTTATTGTTCTCGAAAGATATTTTAGTTTCCTATGGTCAAATACTATATGATCACATATTTAGTTGAGACAGAGGTCAATGTAATCTATAACACTTATCCATTAATTATTTCCCATTATGTTTTTTGAAGTCATATTTGCTATGTTTTGCCACTTTTTGCCATTTAACCAGGTCTAATGTTTCTTTTTTGACAGGACTGAGAGGAAGAAATAAAAAAGACGACTGAAATAGTGATGCCACCCAACAAGTACTCCTCCGCTATCATGGCGGAAAGTGACAAGATGACTGCCACGGTAAGATAAAGAAAGAGTGTTGGGATAGCATTAGGTTCTGTCATGATTTGCCATCCCTTTACTCTTTTTTTTCTTGGAACACAGAAGGGGACATTTTGAAAAACATTCTGGTTGCTCTTCATGCAATTACAATGAATGGTGAAAATTGCTAATTTTTTTGCATTTTTCCTCTATATTGTGCATTCTTATTTACTACATTCTAATATTGTGCAATAGCTTTGACTGCTATTCACAAAAAATCCAGCATCCACTAGGCTTGCCGCGATAGACGGTGCTGACGGTGATACTGGTGTTAAGCCGCAACAGCTCGACTCACTCTCCTCACTGGATAAATGAAATTTGATCTGTCATGCGACTGTCGTTCGGCACGCATTGAGCAGCCGCGTTCAGTTTTTAATTGTAGTGTCTGTTCTTTTACTGAACTAAATGATTTTTATTACTATAAAAAAATCAAAACGACGGTGTGGGTCGGTGACGCCCCTAGGTGGTCTAGGTGGGCAAGTGACGTAACCGGTAACGGTGACGTAACTGACGTAATGTAACTCTTTGACTGACAAGAAGAGTGGGGTGAGACAGACAAGACGATCGCGGATGATTTAGTTTCGAAACGAAATTCAAAAGCGCCTGTTTGGCAGTATTTTGTATTTGAAAAGCCTGTTGACTTTTGCCGTTTATCTAAGGTGATTTTGGAAGTTTTTTTAAACATTCGTTTCTTATTGAATTGGTTCCACATTGTTTGCTGATTTTTACTTTATTTAAACTTTGTGTAATTTATTTATTTTATTTGACATCAAGGTGTATGCCGTGCCTCCAAGCTTTCTTACTCGTTTTGCTAATAAACGTTCTAAGTTTCTTATTTATTTGGTTATATATTATACATGTTTACTTATTTCCAGTTTTGTGTACCTATTAAACTTTATGTAAGTTATTTGTTATTTTATAGTAGGCATAGCCTGCCCTATAGCATGGTGTATTTTTATTTGTTTTGTTAATAAAAGTTCTATGTTTTATATAAACGCTAAAGCGAGTTTGACGTTGTATTTTGTTGTTGCGTTCAAGCAATTGACGTGGAACTGCTGCTAATTTGAAAGTGAAAGTAAAATGCGCACAACGCTTTTAAGCTATTTAAAAGCGAAATAAAGCGAGGAAAAGAGGGAAAATTCAAACAAACTAAAAACGAACAATTGCTTTCCTCCGAATTACCGCTATTTGAAAGTGAAAGTAAAATGCGCACGTCGCTTTTACAAGCTATTTAAAAGCGAAGGAAAGTGAGGAAAAGAGGGAACGCCCCCGCCCCGATTAACCGGTGGGAAAATTTCCTCACCGTCACAACCCTAGCATCCACCCTGCATCACTTTAATAATATCAGCCTTACTCTAACATTAAAAAACATTTTTCTCTCTTACATGCACACAAAGAGTGTGTGGAGGTGTGGAGTGGTGGAAGTGTCTCACTTGTCTCTGGTGTTTTGGGTTCAAAATGAGGCCAAAGGTGCAGAGGAATTTATGGGATTAGTGAAAGGGGACAGAGAGGGAAAAATGGCAGTGTCTGGTTCTCTTGGTGGAAGAGCTGCTCTAACGGGTTTTTCTTTATGGCAGCTCGATAAAAATTTTTTTAATTCTAACAGATTTTTCTCCATATTCTTTGTGACTGTAAATGAGGCAAGACTGCTTCATTACTTTCTTCTGATCCTGCACGCCACAGAGCGCAAAGAGAGAGAGATAAAGAGAGAGAGCAGGCTCTTTGAACGCTGCACCTGGCCGAGGAAGTGCTCTGGATCCCAGAGACCAGCTGCTTGGCCGGGGAGGAGAGAGAAGCACACTGGCCATTCAGATGCCCAGAGCTCAACTGAACCTAGTCTGTACTAACAAATCTGTATTATGAGAAGTCTTAAAAAGGTTCTGACCTCCTTTTACGCAGCATGTCAGTGTTCTGAACATCATTTCTTTTTAACTTAAAGGAATGTTTGGGTTAAATACGGGTTAAGCTACTGACACTATTTTTCATATGCTGTCAGTAACCACAGAGAGTAATTTTAACTCGCCTTAGTTTGAAAAGAAAAATGTGCTGACAGAAATGGAAGTCTGTGGTGTAGGGTTGTCACGATACCATTATTTCTTTCTGAAATCTTGAAAGTATGGTTATTGTCTTGCCAAGTCAAAGGTTTTGAGGATATCTTAGTTTGTTTGAGGCATTCATAGGTATTCAGAAAAATGTTTTTATTATTAGTATTCATTTATTTATTTTTGTGGAAATATCAAGTGAATATGGCTTTAAAAATTGATCAGAATTGCTAATCAGATTAATAGACAAAAGATTTAATAATCAATTAGGTAATTGGGCTGTTCATAAAGAACAGTAGTTATTTCTGTGAAGGTAAACAGCCGGGAAATAAATTGCATGTTTATTTTAGATCTGTGTGGCAGCAGCAATATACAGTAAATAAATCAATAAATCCACTGCTCTCTTGTCTCCTCTGAGACTGGGACTGTAAATAGTGTTCTGTGCTCATCTGTGCAGCCAAAGACAGAGCATTTAGCATATTTTGCTCAAACTTTCACCATGGCATTAGAACTGGTACACCGTTGTCACTTGCGGAATCAAAATGACGGTGCTGTGGGTGGATACTTTCAGATTAAGGGGCGGTAATATTATAATGAGATCCCTCCCCTAGTGAGAGCCATGTCACTAGGGGAGCGAAATCAGACGCGCTTGTTTTTTCAGACGCTTGCAGAAAAAGGCTTACCAAAACAAAGTTACTGGGTTAATCTTTTTCACGTTTCCTTGGTTGGTAGATGCACAGGGGACCTGATTATAGCACTTAAAACATGGAAAAGTCAGATTTTCATGATATGTCACCTTTAAATGACTATGTAAGATGTGTGGGTGTATAGCGCCACCTGCTGGCAGAGAGTGAATCTGCGTCTCATTCAGCTCCGATGTTTCATTGAGGTATTTTTATGTATAGTTTCATAAAACTGAAGTCAAACCATTCTGTTTTTGCTTCAAATTTCTAAATTATACAATCTAATTTAGATTAAAAACTGCTCATGTTGCATGTATGCAGCATCTTTGTTTGGATCATGATTAAAATGCAGTGGTTGCCTCTAATTTTAAATGGAAAGAGCACAGACAAAGCCTTATTTTGTTTATATGAAGAGATTTCTTTTATTTGTGTTACTTATTTATTTGATTTGGGGCTTGTTTTAAAATTTCAATGTAGTTTTGTTATTTACATTTACATTATATTAAAATTTTGTCATTTAGCAGACGCTTTTGTCCAAAGCGATTTACAAATGAGGACAATAGAAGCAATCAAAACCAACAAAAGAGCAGTAATATGCAAGTGCTATATTAGTATATTATTATAGTGTTATATTTCAATTTCACAAAGAAATGTGCAGCATTTTGTCCAAGCAATAATAAAAGGACACATTTAATTTATAATTTGTCTTAAATCTCATTTTGTTAAAAAAAAAAAAATCGTGAATCGAACCATGAAATCAAAATCGTGAATCGAATCGTGAGTTGAGTGAATCGTTTAGATCCCTAGTCACCTTTAATGAAACATGAGTTTTCTGTCCAGGTAACTAAAGCATCGAAGATCCAAAGAGTCTTCATTTACTTACCCTCATATTGTTCCAAACCTGAAGAAACCTGTGAGTTTCTTTGTTTCGTTGAACACAAAGGAAGATATTTAGAAGAATGTTGGTAACCAAACAGTTGACGATAGCCAATCTTTTTCCATACTATGAAAGTTAATTCTCCTCCCCTTCAGAATATCTTCTTTTGTGCTCAACAGAAGAAAGTCATATAGGTTTGAAACAACTTGAGGGTGAGTAAATGATGACAGAATTTATTAAAAAAAATTACGAACTATCCCTTTAATTTTGGCATTTATTTACATTTTAACAATGACACATATATAGATCACATCACATATGGTAAACACATAAGTTCAAACATGTACGGCAACCAATGAGACCTGTTTCAGCATGTGATGCACAAGCTTCCATGTTTACCACTGATGCGCTACATGTATGTGTGTTTATAAGCAACTAAAAGCCTCAATTAAATGAGTACATTATATAAAGCCACTGTATCTCTTAACAAGACTTGGATTAAACCAGATTATAAATTTCATGATTCTGGAAATTATGACAGGATTTTCATTTTTGTGTGAACTATCACTTTAAGTATGTGTTTTATAATAATACAATGATTTGAAAAATGACTCGCACAGGAATGACAATCATGAAACATGAATTATTGCTCATGTCATCAGCATGATGCATAGGAGCACCGCATGACCAAACTATGTCTTTAAAGATCAAAGCAAGAGCTACTCAAATCACCTTAGCATAAACACACAAGAATAAGCTTACATAAAACTAAACCATGTATTCTGTTTAAGGAGGCAAGTAGAGGCTGGAGAGGTGAAAGGGTTTATGGGCTCCTTCAGTCATTCAGTTTATCTTTCTGCTGGCTCCTAATGACACCCCCTGCACTGGTTTTGCCTAAAGGGGCCCCTGGCCCCGTCCTCAAGCTTTTGAAAGGCCGAAAAAAGTCAGCTCCCCTTTATACCACGTAATACTACACACACCAAGGAATAGCAATGTGTGAAAACTCACTGTTATTTCCCAGAGTTCTGTGTGTGTCTGCTGCCATGCTTGCCAACCATGTGAACACACACTCTCACAGTAGCCAAAGGCATATCTGAGCACACTGATGAGCGGAGAGGTTCATCAGATAACAGTTATGTTAAAGCAGACATACATAATTCCAGACAAGATGCAACATGAGCAAAATGTGGGATGTCCTCAAACCTGTAAGACAACTTGTTTTAGCCAGTAAAGCCTGTTATCACATAATTAATTCACGAGTGAATCTCAAAATGACAACCCAAACCATAGAGTTTCCAGCCTTAAAGAGATAGTTCAACCAAAAAGGAAAATTCTGTCATCAGAATCATTCATCCTCATGTTGTTCCAAACCTGTATGACTTTCTGTGGAACGTAAAAATTACATTTTGAAGGATGTTGGTAACCACCCAGTTTTGGTGACCACTGACTTCCACTGTGTGGATAAAAAAGAAAAAAATGTTTCTCAAAGTATCTTCATTTTTGTTCCACAGAAGAAAAGAAAGTCATACAGGTTTGAAGTGAGAGTAAATTATGACAGTTTTCATTTTTGGGTGAACTATCACTTTAAACTCAAAACACTTAGGCTGCGACAAATGACTTAATCTTGATAATTTCTTCATTAATCAATTAAATCACCATTACACATGTTGTTCAGTGTGTTTATATAATGTATATGTACTGTAAGTTTATACAATATATACTTCATTGTGGTATAAAATATATAGGTTACAAAATAAAAGTAAAAGTAATTTTTTTCATTAAATATGTGTTCATTTAAAGCCTAATGATCCAAAATGACTTAATCTTAATGATATGTACATGCACACAGTGTGATGTAATCGATGCTTAATGATTTATTCACTCAATTGATTTTGGATGCCTTGCTTTGGAAAATAGAAATACTTGCATTATAAGAATATCACCATATAAAAATAACATAAGAATAATAACCAATGTGCCTTTTTTTATAGAAACTACTTTTATAGAGAACCGACTGTTTTTGTAACTCGTGTGTTTTTAACGTAAACTTGTGTGTGAATGAGAACTTAGTTTAGTACTCACATGCTGTGACACGCTTTCTGTCCGTGTGCTTCGGATGTGTGCGCTCAGAAAACCGTATATAAGAATTTAAACTAATATGGTTTAAAACGCATGTTTTCAGCGTGAAAAACATGATAATCAGAACCTTATTGTAGAAACGTGTTTTATAGCAGGTACGAGCTGTAATGGTGCAGCTGCATTCTGGAAAAGGGGGCGGGGAGCAGCAGCTCATTTGCATTTAAAGAGGCATGCTCTAATACAGCGTGTTTCTGCTTCCACTCAAAATTGGCATTTTCAAAATGATATAATAAAATATCTGTGGGGTATTTTGAGCTGAAACTTCACAGATACATTCTGGAGACACTTGAGACATACTGTATATATATTGTAAAAAGGGGCATAATATGTCTCCTTTAAAATATCTTCATTTGTACTTTGAAGATTAACCAAAGTCTTATGGGTTTGAAATGGCATGAGGGTGAGTGAATGACGGTATAATTTTCATTTCTGCATGAACTATCCATTCAAGACTCTAAAGTCTGCTTGGATGAGCGGTGTTGTTCAAAGCTGTTGTTAAATTACTACAAACACACATCTGAGACTACACAGGTGCATTGAGCAAATTGGTTTGTAGAAGTTTGAGTTGAAAATATGCATGAAGAACATTTGCATGCACAAACAATTTTTTATTTAGAACTTATAAAAGCTAACCACTTACACATTCAGCGTGGTTGTTGTGGTTGGTGGGAGTGAGTGAGTGAGTGAGTGTGTGTGTGTGTGTGTGTGTGTGTGTGTGTGTGTGTGTGTGTGTGTGTGCGTGTGTGTGCATGTTGGCAAGACCTCTGATCCGCTGCAGCACAACTGTGGCATGAAAGATGTCTAGCATTCCAGTGGACGGTTCCAAAAATGCGACAGCAGCCTGTATTGTTCCCACATCCATGAACACATCTTCAGCCTGTGTGCTTTACTCTGTGCCTGTACTTATAGAAAACAGTGTTATATCTGGTTAATTATAGTTTTCAATTTTCATATGCATGTCCACATACAGAAACACTAATTCACTTGTTCAAATGAGGGCTGGGTTATAAAGCTGTAAAGTGTCATATCATATGAATATTTTTCACCTGTATGATAATTATGTACATTTCAATATTTATGTCTTTACTTGAAAGTTTCGGTAACACTTTAGTATAGGGACCAGTTCTCACTATTAACTAGTAGCTTATTATTATGCCTATTATTAACATATTGACTGTTTATTAGTACTTATAAAGCACATATTCTGCATGACCATATTCTACATCCCTAATCCTACCCAATACCTAAATTTAATAACTACCCCATTAACTATTAAAAAGCAGCAAATTAGGAGTTTATTAAGGCAAAACTTTGTTAATGGTTTGTTAGTAGCGAGATTTGGACCTAAATATAAAGTGTGACCAAAGTTTTTTTTTTTTTTTTCCAGAGACACCATAAACTAAATATTAGGGATAAATTCAGCATCATTAATATTATTGAGTTAAATTACAAAGTCTTGCAAAATTATTTTATATTATTTAATGAAATTTATAAAAAAATATAAAACAAACCGTTTCGGTTTTCAGCCCAGAATTTTAATTTCAGTGCATCCCTACTAAATATGGCAAATATACAATTTTAATACACTATGTCTACAGTAAAATGTGAAGCAGGGATTTTTTTGAGGGACAAGCAAATCTTTGATTAATGGAAAAGGACACTGTGATCTGATTCATTAAAATGATTCGGGCTTATCATACAATGCTCACATGCTAGATAAGTTAAAACACTATTAAAACATATTTGTCTTAAATAGTCTAATAGTACATCCTTTAGAAAAAAGTAATGACCAAAAATTTTTTGTACATACACAATACAGTACAATACAAATACAAGTCTCTTATGCTCATGAAGGCTGCATTTATTTGATGAAAAACATTAAAAACAAGTTTTGTGAAATATTATTATTATCATTTAAATAACTGTTTTCTGTTTGAATGTATTTTAAAATGTAATTTATTCCTGTGATGCAAAACTACATTTTCAGCATAAAACTTAAATCTTCAGTGTCACATGATCCTTCAGAAATCATTCTAATGTGCTGATTTGCAGCTCAAGAAACATTTCTTATTGTTAGCATTATTGAAAACAGTTGTGCTGCTTTATATTTTTGTGGAAATCGTGCAACAGCGTACCTCCAAAAGAGAAACATTAATGTATCCAAGAAGCATCAAAGCAGGCGATTAAAAAGTCATCAATCGCTCAGGGATGTCAACATATCCGCAAGCAATAGAGGCATGACCAAACACATACTCTAGATACATTCATTCTCAGAGCACAGCCATGTATTGGTTGTATAGTTTGTGTTGACACTTTGCTCTGTCAGTGGACTGATCTTCTCAAGGCCTCAAACAGTCTCTTCTTCAAGTCACAACACAATCGCTTCTGGCACAACAAAAGAAACCTGATGAGAAATTAAATTGAAAGAATTAAAAGTACAGCAGCCAAGACATGCAGGGTTTTTGTATTCTGTACATCATCGAAGCAAATCAGAGAAAGGAACATTCTGTTATTTTATTTTGTTGTGTACGTAATAGATTGCCAGAACAGGTGATAGATTTGACGTCTAGTAGCCCAGGGGTTTTCAACCTTGTGCCCCCCAAGTTTAATTTCACTGGTTTAACACATTTACCAAATTTGATTTAATCAATGTAAATCATGAGATTATATACATATGTATGCATATATATATTCATTTTTCTCTTTTGAGGCATTTCAAGAAAAGACGTGAGATGGAGTTTTTCCTTGCTATTGAGAAATTTATCTTGTTCACTAGGTGTTTTAAGACTGTACTTGATGGAATTAAACGTGTTTCTCTTCAGGTGTATATGTCTAGTTTTCCTCTAAGGTAAAAATATTTTCTGTCAACGTAGCAAAAGAAAGGGTCAAGTGGTGGAGTTTTGGCTGGTTAGCATGACCCAGACTCTGGTGCTAAATGCCACCATTCATTGATAACCATAATGGGCGCTGTGTTAGAGTGACAGTGATGTTGTAGAGATGTTTGGGCCTGCCCACCATTAGTATCTTTTTTATGAATGGGAATAGCGAACACCTGTACCGTCACACACCCATTTAGTTGTGCCAGGTGACTTGGGATGGAGTTCTGTTGTTGTTTTGCTTGTCTATATTGAAGATTGTGAGTTGTCCAGATGTTCTAAACAGAATGTCTCTTTTTTTCAGGCTGCTGTGAATGGTGACATGTCAGTAGGAGAGGGATTGTCAGAAAACGACAGCGGTCTGGAGATGACCAATGAGAACAGCCCGCTGACTGCGGCAGAGCCACCTTCACCTTTCTGCCCCAAACAGAACGGAGGCGCAGCCTCACCTGCAGGTACACAGACCCGATTTAATATATACATTTCCATTTTATCACTAGTACTAGATGTAATTCCTGTAAAATTTAAACCTGTTTTTACATGTGAATGCCAGGTATCCTGATAATTATTATTAAATATTAAATACTGGATATAACTTTAGCAATTCTGTCACACTAGTCTTATTTTAACACGAATGTGACCTACCTTGGAGTAGGGATGCACCGATCCGATACTCAGTATCGGTATTGGCTCCGATATTGCCATTTTCTGCCGGATCGGGTATCGGTCAGACGAGACCGATCCAAATCCTATATTCTTTATATACTATTCTGTGTTATTGTTAAGCCCCATGAAAGGCAAAAAAATCATTATAAAGCACCATAAAGTTCTTGTGCACTATATTTCAGGTGTTCTGAAGCTGTTCCATAGCTCAGTGTGAGGTACAGATGAATATTTAAGTCCTTAAATTCAAGTTCATGTAAACTCTTCTCTCCGCTGCGGCTGTCTGACAGTCTCCATTCAGCATTCAAACTGCGTGTCGCGTTTGGTTACTACAGTTAAGACGATGAAACTCTCTAAGAGCGCACAGTAAGTGAAGTTTAAAACTGTTCAAAGAAAAGGCTCAATAAACTATCGCACACATATAATACACTACGCATCAATATCTCTTAGGGCTGAACGATTAATTGCATTTGCGATAATATCGCGATACGAGAGAACACAATTTTTCAATCGCAGAGGCTGCGATTCCACTCGGTCACGTGACACGCGAGAGTAAAGAGGTGTGTTTGACTTCAAAGTACGGAGTGTATGACATCAAAGTACGGCGAGAGAAAGCATAAGGAGACGTCCGCTCTCTTATAGCTCTCGCAGTGCTTTGATGACACACACCCATCGGTCTATGCTTCAAGTCTTATAGGTTTAAAGGGGGGCGTGACCAAAAAAGTTTGAGAAACACTGGTCTAAAGTGAACAGACAGTGTTTCAAAAGTGCAGTCCCCATGTTTACATATGTTTATTACAGTGACTTTGAATTACCTAAAGTAGTGTGGTAAAGCAACAGATTTGTTTTTATATTCGCAATTAGATTATTTTCCAAAATCGTTCAGCCCTAATATCTCTTCACGTTGTGCTTTGAACTTCTCTATGTGGAGAACTGCACACTGTGACTCTGTGTTGCTTCAAGTGCATCATTCTGTGCACTGGATGCACATAAGCGCTTTGTGCCGCTCTGGATTGAGCCTTCATATTATAATACTTTTGCACAATGAAAGATTATTAATAGCCTTTCTTGTTCTGTCCTCTCTATCATATGTTGCTGCCTCCATTATTGTGCTATACATTTAAAAGAAATGTATTTTGATTTATAGTGTGTGTGTATATATATATATATATATATATTTACTTGTTTTTTTATGAATGTATTTTACAACAGTACAAACAGCAATGTAGTATTTGCTTTTAGTCATAAATATAATCGGAATTGTAAAAGGTTTGCCTTTATTTTTTGTACATTCACAATAAAAATAAATCTTTGTGTTTTTGTAAAATAAGCCTAAAGAAAAATAGGATGCCGCTTCCTGCCGTCTGTTTCCTTTCGCGCAGCACAAAAATGAACCGAAACTCTGCATACTAGGCTACTTGTTGCACAGTTTTTTTCGTTTTCTTAATTTATTATTTAAGTAAAAATAAGAAGCGCTGCAGGTGCGTGATGTGATATGACCATGAGAATCCTCGTGTTCTGTTGTTTTGCGCATGTAAAATTAATCCCCCGGGAAACAAATGTTAGTATTTTTAACGGGTCACAGACACTTATTCTTTCTAATTTAATTCAATTCTAATTTAAAATAATCTTGTTGGTTAACGAGCATCGGTTGTCGGTTAGGAAAAATAACCGAAATGAACATCCCTAATTTGATCCCCACTAAATAATGTTATTTCACTGTTTAGATTTCACAATGTTTAGATTTTTTAGAATAACATTTGCTGCTGAATTATCCACTAACCTAGTTTATAATATGGGGCAGTCATGGCCTACTGGTTAGAGAGTCGGACTTGTAACCCAAAGGATGTGGGTTCGAGTCTTGGTACGCAGGAAAAATGGCTGAACACCGCTCCAGGTGTGTGTTCACGGTGTGTGTGTGTTCTCTACTCACTGCTGTGTGCGTGCGCTTGGATGGGTTAAATGCAGAGCATTTTCATTTGTCATTTTTCTTTAAAATTAAGTTGTCTATATTTAGTAGATTGTGTTTAAACACTGATGATCAGGTCAACACACAGAAGTATAGAAATTCTACATTGATTAAAAAAAAACTGTGCCGTTATCGGATTGAATCTGTATCGGCCGATACTCAGAATTTTCAGTATCAGATCGGTTCAGAAAAAAATGATATCGGTGCATCCCAACTTTGAAGTAGTGTGTTATAATGTTTATCCTGGTGCAATACCTTAGCTTTTTTGCTTGTATTTTCAATGGAAATCAACAGTGTTACAGACGGTGTCAAAAATTAGTTATCAAGGAGCAATATTTGTATGGAATTTATTTTCTTTTTTTGATCGCACCGTTTCGTTCATTTATGTCACATATTATATTACTACAACAAATACTACATACTGTTATTTAGTTAAATATATGAAATGAAATGATCACTCTGGTGTTTAAATTTCATAACCAGGTAGGCCTAGGATCAAGTATTAGGCAGTAAGTGTCTGAAATTTCTTATAACCTCTTATTCTTCCAGATGAGAGCGAGAACAGCATCAGAAGAAAGAGATCTCGTAAGCGCTCCGACACAGAGGAAGACAGCGCCTGGGATTCCTCCTACAGTGAGGTGAGAATTTATGTACTACACATCTGATCTTATCACACATTGACAGAACTATTCACATTCCACAGTTCATTTTGCTGCTGTTTCCAGACACATGGCTGAAACAGGTCAAAACACAATTGCTTTACTACAGGAAATATATATTTTTTTAAACCAATGGCAGTATTGTTAAATAATTGAGGTGAAAGCACAACACAATTAGTGGTGTAATCATATATGAATCCATTCATTCACCACAATTCACGTTCATAAACAAACATCATGAAACATGCAGGAAAACACATAGAAACCTGAGTTTGGTATCACCTTTTTGGTCCTCTTTGCATTATCAGCATAATGAAATAAGACATGCAGAAGATCACATTGTGCAGCATTGCTGTCCCCCCTTTAAACAAACACTCTGCCATTCACATGCGCGCTAACTGCAAACTGAGTGCATGTGTATGCTAGTGCTGTGTTCGATACATTGATACGACGATGTATCGTCAAGAGATCTGACGATACGAGTATCGATACAGCTGGCCCTGTATCGATATTGTGGCACGTGCGGTGCAGTGGACCGCGCTTAATTTTAATACAAGAACACCGTTTAAAACGGAGTAGAAAAGTGCAAGGTTTCTAAAAAATAATGAATAGAGCATAATATATAGGCTACAACGAGGTTTAATCTGGCCACAGAGGAAAACAACCGGGGTTGCCTGATATATAGAGACGTAATCCCCGAAACAGAGCTTCACACTTGCGCAATACGGAAATATCTGCTAAATGTCTTATTTGTTTTTGTCAACCTGGCAACCATTTGCACGCGCTCTCTCTCCACTGTGGATAAAAGCACTTGCTTTCTGAAAACACCAGTTAGCTTGCAGTTTAGCGATCTCCTCTTCAATATTCTATTCTCAGACAAGTGTAATTCATCAAGTGTTAATTTATGAGCGCGAGAGAGAGAGAGAGAGGCTTTGTATGTATGAATTACCACCGTTTTGCCGCATTTCTCTATTAACAGTGAAGCTGTGGATTTAATTGCTTTAGAAACGATGATGTTACTAGCTCCTTGTTGAGAAAGATAATGTAGCTCTTCAGTGATTAAGCTATTTTATTGATAAAATTGCGGGGCAGCGCTAAAAAGTTTGTCTAAATGTGAAAAAGAATGTCTGTGCGCGCACGCAGAGTGATCTGACTAAACGTGTGTGCGTGAGGTACAGTGAAGACAGCGCATTAGTTTAGAACTCTTCTAATTTTTATTTTTTAAACGTAGAGAGTGTGTTGATTTGTGCAATGATAGCCTACCAGCAATGTTAAGATGATTTTAATGTATTAGAATGAGTACATTACAATATAAATTTATTAGAACGAGTACATTATTATTTATGGGCTTAAAAACAAGATGCAAACAATCAGAATATAATTGTACCTGGTGGGGAGTGCCCAATGTAAACATGAAACAAATGCCATTACCTATATTGTACTGTGGTACAGTTATAGAGGCCCTTCATAATGCAGATGTCAACTGCCTGTTCTGCCAATAGTTAGCAACGGCCCTATGGTATGCATTGTTTAATAAACAGCTGTTTTACTAAATTCTTCTGAGGTGAAATTCAGTGCAGTCCCGTATCGTGGCCTCTGTATCGTGATACGTATCGTATCGTGACTTTGCTGGTGATACACAGCCCTAGTGTATGCATGTCTATGTGTGTGTTGTTGTGATACATATCTGTTCCATCAACACATTTCACCCTTCAAGGTGATAAGGGCTATTCATTCTCTACTGTAAAGACTCCTTACTAGGGATGTCAGTTTTCGATCATTTCCATGATCGATCGTCGTTTAAATTAACGATCAATTAATCAATTAATCGTTAACCTTAATGCTGCAAAATGCGTCTATGCAGCCCGGAATGACAGGATGTGCAAAAGTTACTCCAAAAAAAAAAACCCGCTTTCTCACACGATTTAAAGGGGATTTAGTCTGAATAAAATGCTAGTAGCAGGATTGTAAAATGAATAGATGTGATTATGATCATTTGATAAAATGAAGAGAGCTCGTTTGAGATAATTTTACTTTGTTGACTGTTTCCTATCCCGTCACGGAGACAGCTGAACGCGCCTCTTTAAATGGTTTTGTGGTGCTCGTTGTTGTATTTTAAAACACAATTGCAATGTTTTCAACTGACATTATGGCATTAAAAATAAAATGATCCCAAACGTAACTGTGGCGCGTGTGGCTGTGCTGTGCAGTCAGTGAACCGCTTCCATCGGCGCTGCTGCAGCAAAAGCTCGTTTGAGATAATTTTACTTTGTTGACTGTTTCCTATCCCGTCACGGAGACCGCTGAACGCGCCTCTTTAAATGGTTTTGTGGTGCTCGTTGTTGTATTTTAAAACACAATTGCAATGTTTTCAACTGACATTATGGCATTTACAATAAAATGATCCCAAACGTAACTGTGGCGCGTGTGGCTGTGCTGTGCAGTCAGTGAACCGCTTCCATCGGCGCTGCTGCAGCAAATTGAAATGTTGTGAATTTTAACATGAAACATTTTTATGTGAGTATTATGACCAGTACTTCATTTGATCCTTCTGGATCCTGTTCCGGAAAATGACAGATTTTGACAGTGCATGTGTGCGTGTACGAGGACGGCGCGAGTGCGGGTTTGAATAGATGTATTTAGTCTCACGTCTCATTCGGCACAAATCCAAATGTTTCCATATTCGTAATGTATTTGAATGTTAAACTATTATCATGAGCAAAAAAGTCCTTGGCATAACAGCAGAGTGGACTGGTATACAACGGTGTATTTAAACTGACCAGTGTAACCTTTTATATGTTTGGTGTTTGGTTGATTATTTTGATAATGAACAGACTGCAATGTAAGTTTGAATTGCTAGAATATGTGGGGTGTGGGGTGTGTGGGTGCTGGCGCGATCGAACAGCTGAAACATAAAAAAACTCCATTTTTGGAGTAAGATATAATCCGCAAAAGTGTTTACTCTTATTTTTGAACACTCACAATAAAAACAGAAGATTTGTGCTTTCGTAAAATAAAGCAGAC